ATCTTCGCTCCTGATGTACTGAACAGTATTATTATTGGATTAAAATCACCATACTTGTTGCTACATGCAGATGGTGATGAACATCATCTTACTGGTGGTGATGATGGAGTAAGTGGTCCTCCTGCTTTATGAAGGTGTGATTTGGGCCTGCTTATCAACCATTATGCTGATATCAGTAATACGGTCAGTGCCATGACATGCTGATTCTCATATATTATACATAAATATTCTTTATTTTTAATAATAATGATATAATAATACATTTTATTTGTTGGCACCTTTCTAAAAGCCAGGATCACAGAAAAAATGATTTTTTTTTAAAAAAACAGCATTAGAAAACAATTAGAGTCCATGTTTTAAAAGATGGGTTTTGAGTTTTGACTTGAATAAGGGAATAGAGCAAGTATTTCTGATATCAGGAGAAAGTGAATTCTCTATAGTTGTGAGACGGGCAGAGGGAACAATAAGGTGACCTGGAACGAGAGGGAGTAGTAATGTGGAGTAAATAACACAAGTAGGGAGGGGCAAGGTTATGGATACATTTGGAAGTGAGAAACAAGATTTTGAAAGTGATTTTAGAATCTACGGGTAGCCAGTGAAGCTGCTGAAGAAAAGGGGTGCGAGTTATGATCCAGGCTGCAGAATTCTGGAGGAGTTTGTAAAGGGACTTGTTAGGAGACCAAAGAGAAGAGAATTACAATAATCAATCCTAGAAGTGAGAAGTATAGTTACAGCATGGGGGGTGAGGAATTGATAATGCATAAGTGGAAGTAGGCGGATCAGGTGATGTGATTAATAAGAGACTGAAATGATAAAGAAATGTTGAGGATGACACTCAAAATCTTAGCCTGAGGGGAGGGAAAGATGGGTTTGTCAATATTAATGGAAAATGCGTGGGATTCGGTTAGAGTGAAATCTGTGCAAGAACTTCAGTTTTATTAATATTGAGTTTGAGAAAATTGAAGGAGAACCATTATTTAACCTCCATGAGACAGTCACAAGGGGAGATGGGTGGAAGGGTGAAATTGGGTTTGGAAGAAATATACAAGTGAGTGTCATCCACATAACGGTGAAAATTAATATTGTATTTCCGAAATATGTGACTGAGTGGAAGCATGTAAATAATGAATAAAAGAGGCCCCAATACTGAACCCTGGGGCACACCAGCAGAAACAGAAAATGAACTGAGTGTGATCCAAGAGATATGAGGTGAACCAGGCAAGGGAGTTATGATTAATACCGATGGATGCAAGTTTTTTCAGAAGGATAGCTCAGATCAAGAAGGATGAGGATGGTGAGAGAACCAGCGTCAGCTGCCATCAGCTGGTGATTTTTAATAATGCTGTTTCTGTGCTGTGGTCAAAGGTTACTGAAATTATGGAGATCTGTACCAGGTTTTTAACAATGTGAGTAACGGAAGTAGTTCTCAATAACGTCAGTACTGAGGGAAGAGTGACTAATGGTGGTAATAAGGGGGACCAGTGAGGTAAGATAGGCTTTAATTTAGACTTTTGAACCATTATTGATACATCAGATACTGAGGGGAGAGTGAAACTCGAAAATGACAAATGGTAAACAAAGAGTGGAGCAGGAAGTCAGCTTCAAAGACTTCCGCTCCTGCAGAATTAGGTTTCTGGTGAATATTAGAAATTTTGATTGTGAAGAAGGACATGAGAGAGTTACAAAAGTCAGCACATACATATGAGAAGGAAAAGAGTCCAGAGGCCAAGTAATGTTGTTAAACAAGAAAAGAAACTTTACATGCACTAGAATAGATTAAACAAGAATATTATGCAGATTTGGCTGAGTCAATACAGTTCTTGTAAAACAAAATGTGATTATTATACATTTCTTTGTGTATGGTTAGTCCAGTTTTCTTAAAGAGGCGTTCCAGTTGGCGCCCCTTAGCTTTGAGAAGGCGCAAGGTGGATGTAAACCAAGGTGCTGAGAAAAGGAGACAGATCTGCGTTTGAGTGGAGCGAATGTATTAAGAAGGTTTTGATGTTTGGTATTATAATAAGAAACCAGATCATCAAGAGTTGAAAAACTACAGGTTAAAGTTAATTATAGCAGATGATTTATGGCCACTGTGGAAATATATAATAATATAAATATTCCTAAATACGCTTGAACTCAGACACTTTGATTTGGTAATAAATGAGGTTATTCTGTCTTAGATATGAATTTTTTTGTGTCTCCTCAACTTCTCAAAGGAGTTTAAGTCTAATTATTCTGTGCAATACAGCCACCCGATGACAAGAAAACTTATCACTTTCTTCCTGCATCTCATGAAATACAGTACCTTGTGTTTATATTTATGTTTATCTGAAAGGGACGATGCATATTAATTCACATGAGCACTTTAATACACCGTGTAACAATGCCAGATTTAGACCCATGAGCTAATTTTCATTTGTAGCCCGTGGCAGGTGAACTGTGAAGGATCGTGGGCTGGATGAGCTGCTAACTCACTGACATTCTGGTTTATTGTTTACATCAAAGATTATATCCGTCTGACCTGTAGTGGCTAAAGCTCAGCTTGTAAACGATGGCTGGAAGTAACCATGTTCATATGAGAGGGTCCTGCATTAGTAAACTGTAAGGGTTGCACTGCACACATTTTGAATAAATGGCATTTTTTTGGTGCTTCTGGGTTGTCTTCATTTTTCAGCCTATAAGTTTGCCTCTTGGTTATGATTTTAAAACATTTTAACTACTGAAATCGAGCTGCACATATGAGTTTTAAGCAAAGCTAGCAGCTGCAGATTTTGTTTTGGCCTAACCAAGCGTGGTTTGCTTTTCAGTTTTATAGCCCTTGGCTATAATCTGGTATGTTTACATTCATGTAATTTTTTTTTATATTTATGTTCATTAACATGCACTGTCCTAAATAAAATAAATAAATAAATAAATACATAAATATAACTCAAGCAAAAAAAAGTTTTTTATTTTATCATGCTGCTTAGCTACCAGCTGCTGCTGCTGCTGGTAACCCTTTATTTAACATTAGATATGGGAGTGGTATTTCATATAACTCTTATCAGCTCTACTGAAGCAAATAAGAACGCTCCATGAACTTCCATGGCATCTTTCTAATTTTTCAATGTATTTAACCTGCTGTGCAGTGCCCTGAATGTTAACCCTTCAGAAAGGGGCAGGACGAGGCATGAACGCATCTCGCTGCAGCAGACAGACTTTTAATACAGGGGCTAATAGAGACAGTATGCAGTTGACAACCCATTCAGTCCCGCAGGGCGAGGGGCCAAAATCCTTGAGTTCCAGCCCTGTTTGAGAAAAGATCAAATGCTCAGAGCGACAGCTGTGGAGCTGCAGGCTCTTCCCATTCAGCCACTAGATGGAAACAATAGCCTGCTCTGCACGACCACCACTGCATTCGTTTATTGCCTGTTATGCCTGATTCTGTGCACCGCTTTGTCTCGTCTCATCATGCCCGTGAAATCATCCTGTTTATGTATTCTGGGTATGCATGGGTCTTGTGTTTTTATAGATCCTTCAACTGGTCTGCATACAAGCACCTGCCTCTTCTGAAGTATCTTTTAGCAAGGCAGCAAGAAAAAGGAAAGAAAAAAAAAACAGCTGCAGAACTGCTTTGCTTTTATAGAAACTGGCCCGCAGAGCTTAATAAAGTTTCACATTATATTGCATGAACACATTAGCAGAAATGGTGACAGAGTAATTTGTGAGTCAGCAACAGTGAAACGCCACTGGGACTATCACTTTACCATAGGAGCGGGTTATTTTCTACAACTCCGCTGGAGAAAAATAAACTCTAAGGAGCAGTAGTAGCAGGTTCCTTATTAGGGATCCAGAGGGGGAACGTTCCTGCCTCACATATGTCATTTTTATGGAGTCCTCAAAATTACTTATTAACACATAACCACCATTCCAGCTCCCCTTGTTTTCATATCCGACTGTATGGTCTGCATTTTATATGACTTCACGTCCTCATTGGAATGCTAGTTTGTAACTAATATTTAATACTAACCAACTGCTTGAAAGTATCTGCTGTAAATGTGATACTTCTAGAAAAGACAGACCTTAGCTTTTACCAAATCCTGAAGCTTCCTTTGTCTAAACCTGGTACTAAAGCTGGGCGGATCTATCCAGATATCACTAGTATCATACCATCTGATCCTCAGTATTTAGGCCAATGATTTTTGTTGAGTTAATTATATTTTTGGGAGTGAAAAATATACCCCAAACATGTGCTATGAAAAATGTCTTAACTTTTTTGTGTTTACATTCAGGGTCTACAAAAAGGTTTCAAAATACATGAAAAGCTGAAAGCTGTGATTTGGTGATTATTAAAATATGATCAGAATTTTCAAATTGATCTCATACGTCATGACGCACTGCTGTTCCCCTACATAAGCTGCCTCTATAAGTAAAACGTATCGATACTGGTCTGCGAAATATTGACCCTGTATTAATTTGGTATCGATCAACACCAAAATTTGCAGAATGGCGCAGAACTATCTGCTCTGTGAACCACTTTCCTGTTATATTAAATGTGTTAAATGCTGCATTTAATTATTCTACAAGCTGGGCAACACAGCAGCACTTCTAGTCCCAGGTAAGGGAGCCTCTGCAGGTTTACTTGGCACTTTACTAATGAATGACCAAATGCATGAATACCTTTTATGTATTTTCGCACTGCAAACATGTAGAATAGCCTGCTGTAAAAAAAAAAAAAAGAAATCCATGGTATCCTCATTACTTGCATGTAAGTTTTTATTATTATAGCTGTTGTTGAGTGAGATTTTTTGCCTTTTTAACTGCTGCCCTACGTCGTGTTTTATGTGAAAAGTTGCCAAATAAGTGCAGCAGCTTTTCTGTCACATCGATAATTTTGTTTTTTACTCGAGTGTGCAAACGACTATATTCGTCGTGACATTGCAGCTTCCCCCCACCCTCCAGGCAAAGCGCCTGAAAGGGTAGGCATACTATTCAGGGCAGAAATGTCAGAGGTATTTGACCATCCTCCAGCATCTGTCTGATAATTTTCCTTGTGTAGTGCTCGGGCTGAAATGTGAGCGTCACGGAGCGCCCACCCTCCTCCTCCTCTTCTCCGTCTCTCCCTCAGTGAAGTCCCACTGAGCGGCTTTCAAACTTCAGTGTCGAGTTGAAAGCGGAGGAGGAAGAGCTGGAGCCGACAAACAGCCTCACAGCAGCTCAAACAGCCGCTGTGATCGCTGCCTCTCTTTTTCTCTTCGCTCGGTCCACTTTGAGGATTTACGCTCAGCTCCCCGGCGTTTGATTTTACGGTTTTTGTTTTCGTTCCTCAATCGTGTATCGAAGTTTCCGACTGTCACGTTTTAGTCACGGACCTTTATCTCGGCAGACTGTGGGAGTAACCGCTTTAATTCAGGACTAAATAATAACAGCGAGCCGCTCCGAGTGCAGCTGGGGAGGTTTTCTAACGGAGAGCTGGCTGAATTTCGACCTGCCCTCGACATGGGGAAATAGCGGGGATCCTCTCTACCCGACCCCGTGTGTCTTCTGAAAGACAGACCCCTTTTTTTTTTCTTTTTTTTTCTTTTTGGCCGAAACGATGAGTATGGACGGCTGTCCGCTGAAGGTGGTGATTTTTTTGTGGTGTCTGCTGGTGATTTCGGGTTCCAGCTTTGAGATTGGCTCCTACGACCTGGAGCGTGGCAGACCGGCCAAGTGCGAGCTCATCACGATCCCCATGTGCCAGGGGATCGGCTACAACCTGACCCGGATGCCCAACTTCATGGCCCACGACGACCAGAAGGAGGCTGCCATCAAACTGCAAGAGTTTGCCCCCCTGGTGCATTACGGCTGCCATGTGCACCTCCGCTTCTTCCTCTGCTCCCTCTTCGCCCCCATGTGCACGGACAAAGTGTCCACCTCCATCCCCGCATGCAGACCCATGTGCGAGCAGGCCAAGGAGAAGTGTGCTCCCGTCATGAAGAAGTTCAGCTACACCTGGCCGGAGTCACTTAATTGCGAAAAGCTGCCTACCAGGAATGACCCCAACGCTCTGTGCATGGAAGCCCCGGAGAACGAAACCAGGACGGAGGGGAAGAAAGGGGAGGGCATGCTTCCAGTGCCCCCTCGCCCCAGGCAGCCGGGCACGGGCAACAACCGCTCTCCGGGCAGCGTGGGTTCCTGCGAGAACCCAGACAAGTTCCAGTTTGTGGAGAAGAGCCAGTCTTGCGCTCCACGCTGTTCCCCTGCTGTGGATGTCTTCTGGTCTAGGCAGGACAAAGACTTTGCTTTCATTTGGATGACTGTGTGGTCCATCCTGTGCTTCGTCTCCACCGCTTTCACCGTCCTGACCTTCCTCCTGGAGCCTCACCGCTTCCAGTACCCAGAGCGACCCATTATCTTCCTCTCCATGTGTTACAACGTCTACTCCGTGGCCTTCATCATCCGCTCAGTGGCTGGGCCCGAGAACATCGCCTGCGACCGTGAACACGGCGAGCTGTACATCATCCAAGAGGGGCTGGAGTCCACCGGCTGCACCATCGTCTTCCTCATCCTCTACTACTTTGGCATGGCCTCGTCTATCTGGTGGGTCATCCTCACCCTCACCTGGTTCCTGGCTGCAGGGAAGAAGTGGGGCCACGAGGCTATCGAAGCTCACAGCAACTACTTCCACATGGCTGCTTGGGGGATCCCTGCTCTCAAAACTATCGTCATCCTCACTATGAGGAAGGTGGCTGGAGACGAGCTGACAGGGCTGTGCTACGTAGGAAGCATGGACTCGGGCGCCCTCACGGGCTTCGTCCTGATCCCTCTGTCATGTTACCTCATCATCGGCACCTCCTTTATTCTCACGGGCTTTGTGGCGCTCTTCCACATCCGGAAAGTGATGAAAACCGAGGGCACCAACACGGAGAAGCTGGAGAAGCTCATGGTGAAAATCGGCATCTACTCCATCCTCTACACCGTGCCGGCTACCTGCGTCATAGTCTGCTACTTCTACGAGAGGCTCAACATGGACTACTGGAAGCTGAGGGGGCTGCAGATGAAGTGCGGATCTTTCAACGGACCCGGCAGCGACTGCTCGCTTCAGACGTCCGTGCCCACAGTGGCCGTGTTCATGCTGAAGATCTTCATGTCGCTGGTGGTCGGTATCACCAGCGGGGTGTGGGTTTGGAGCTCCAAGACCCTGCAGACCTGGCAGGGCCTGTGCAGCAGGAAGCTGGCAGACAGGACTAGTAGTAGGAAACCCTGCAGCGGTGTCAGCTGCGGCAGCACACACTGCCACTACAAATCTCCTGCTGTGGTTCTGCACATGGCCAAGACTGACCTGCACTCAGACAACCCCACACACGTCTGAGATTGAGCACACACACACTCACACACCTTTGCCCTGTGTAAGGAGCTGCTAAAAGACTTAATATGAAGATGAGGCATTGAATTGAACTGTCACTTACTTCTGTGCTGCTGCTAAGGGACACAAAGCTACACCATGAGAAACTATAAACAGTATTCAGTGCATAAAGGGAAAAATGTTCAGTATTGCTATCCATATGTTTCCTGTTCATAGTGTTCTGTGCAGTAGACATGCCCGGTGTTGCAAAGAGAGGGAAAAAGAGACTCGTAGGGGAGGTATGTTGGGAAATATTAGCGTATTCTCCTCCCTGAAAGTGGCATGATGAACTGTATAAATGTGTATAAATGTGTTATTTATTGTCAATATATTTAATTTAAAGTTCACCTTGGCTCTTACAGGATTTGTTGTTTAGATACATTTATTAAAAAGGTCGTGGGAAATCAAGTGCCTTTTCTAAGACCTCTGGTTCTGGCCTTTTGAAGGATAATAAATTTGCGGAACTCATCCTCAACTTTCTTGCCTTCTTGTTGTTTTGATGACCGTTTAACAGTTTCAGCAACCTTTAATAAGTTTCCGTGGCCACAAATGATTGTTTGAATAGATTTCGTAGCTTTTCTTCTTCAGGGATTTTTTTTTTTTACAGCAGGACTGCTGCCGCGTGTGTTGTCTTCCAAAGCGCAGGCTACATCCCAGAGGCGTCCCCGACAATAATCCTCAAAGAGAATTGCTGATGAATAGAGTGACAAACCGTGGCAAGTATTAATGTTTGCATCATCAGAGGAATATATTTAATTAATAGCTGTTTTAATCCTTCCGCCGAATCGCTGTTGTTGCCCTCTCGCTGCTCTATTTGATCCCCGTGCAAACACTCGGCACTTTGATGTGAGAGGACAGACCTGAAGTGGATTTCAGCCTTATTGCATGGTTTCACTGACAGATTGAAGCTTAGCGCACGCGGCCAAAACTGTGGTTGCTCATCGAGTAGATGGATTATTAACTTAATATTCGAGTTTATATGCGGCTTGTGTCTCTTGGAGCCTGAGCTTGTGATATGAATTAAGGAATTCCGCTAAGCAGTGCATTTTGTTTGGCTAAAGCAACGACGTGCTCTCAGAAACTGACACGAGGTATAAATGATCGCTGGCTGATTCAGAGAGAAGGTATGCATAGCATTATTTTTCATTGAACAAATACTCTAAGTTGGTCCTCTGCAGCTAACTTTTCAGTAATAAACCTGATTTTAACTGTGCATGAGCGCTACCATCTCCTCACACGGTCCATAAAAAAGTGAAAATAAATAGCTTTTACATTACTGGACTTTAACAGTGTAAGCACCAACGTAAACTGCAACCACACACACACACACACACACACAGCAAGTTGTGTGGAAATTAGTGTTTGACAGCGGTGGAGTTTATTATGTTTGTGTGTAATTGTGTGCTGTGTCACCACAATCACCAGCAGCAGCAGCAGGAGCAGCTTGTGGGAGTGATAGTTTGGTAAAAGTGGGATGACCAGGAACGTTACCGGGATGTGAGCTGGGTGAAGCAGGGGTGAGCTCGCTGACCATCTCTGCACATCTAAAAGTTGTGTCGTTTGCATTTTTTTTTCTCCACCGCTTGAATTTCAGCCGAGTCATTAAGGATGTAATACAGCTTGTTCCACCGCTCAGTTATGACACGCGCAGCATTTTTAAAATCAAAGGCACTTTGTGTCTCTGCAGTAAATTAACCACATTTCCACTTGGCGTGGTGGTGTTGTCGTGGGTTTGTGCAACGCATGAGTTAACTTAAATTACTTATTCCTTCCTTCGTTGGAAGAAGATGTGGGTTAACTACCAATATCCTCCCCTCTTTTGTTTTCATTGCTCAGCCATTGTAGACGTTGTCCACGGTTTTGGCAGGCGAGCGCTGCGAGTCCTGGACTCTGACACTGTGTGGATCACATTTAACTATTAAAAAGAGCTGTTTTGCTTGGAGAGCCCTCGCGGCCCGAGGCTCGGCTGGTGGTGTTTTTAGGCCACATGTTCCAGTTCACGAGCGACTGAACGGGGGCGCGTGCTTCCTCCCCAGTTTACACTCCAGTGACATGACCCAGAGAGGCCAAACACTTGCCGTGTGAGACACAAACCAGCTTGTCCCACCTGCGCTGAGCTGCTCTGATTAGATAGGAGCTGCAGAGGGTTAAGCCCCTCTTGAGCTTTTTTTAAAAATATATTTTTCCATGTAGTGCTGAATAAAAAGCCTCTTTTTTAAAAATAAAAAAGTGGGGTCAGCAACAGCTACAGGATGTCTTTAATGTGTTTCTTTTCCACAAGTATGAAGTCTATCGCTGCATTTCCAGGTCACTGAGAGCTATTTTTAGCTCTTTTCTTTCACAGAGGAAAGGAATCACACAGCACAGCGCTTCAGATAGAGGCACGAACGAAAGAAAGGTTCATTCCAAAAACAGTTTGTTTGAGCTGTGGTTCTTTTGGCGCCAGATATGTGGCTGCCGGGAACACCTTGCCTTCACACACGCATACAAACGCGCACACACCTGAGGTCTGCGGGGCTGGAGGAGCGCCAGCCAATCAGCAGCAGGCTTGTTTTGAAGAAGACCCCACCCCATCTCCAGTAATGTCCAATTTCAGGAGTAAGTAAGCCCGGTCTCGCTCGAAAGATTTAGTTTGGCTGAGGCTCGGCGCTGTTTTTCTTCTCCTCTGGCTCAGGAGGTTAAATAGTGTCAGAGTCAGTCGCACTGAGCACCAAGTTTGTCTGGGCCAAGAGTGAGGCTACTCCCAGAAAAGGCAACACTTTTCCCTTATAGGTTTCTCAGGGAAATTTCATTGTGTGCGCTGGGAGCTTTATAGAGTATTTATTGATTCTGTTTATCCGGGATTTGTACAATTTGTTTTCGACTAAAAGGCGTAAAAACACCTCAGCGGTTATCCCGCTTTAGCTGCTGACACTGTGTTTTTGTCTGCTGAGGAGAAATCCCTCCATCTGGTCATGGGTCTGATTAAAGGCGATCATTATGGCATCAGTACGCCTCCCTCATAGACTTAAAACCCCTGCCCAACCCTGAGGGTAAAAAGAGAAAATAAAGCATCCTTCATTACCCTGCCCTCCCTCCCTTCTGCAGCCCCTCACCCCCCTTGAGCACTATCCCTTTCCTGTGCTGTTTTGATGTGTAAATGAGCGCATTGAAAACCTGCAGGCCCCCAAAGAGATGCTTTCCATGAAAATGCGGCAGTCAGAGAGCACCAAAGTTCACACAGCTCACCAGTCCTCGCAACCGGACTCCAATCAGACGCCCAGTACACGCACAAAAACCACACAACGCGACCGCGCGTGCATGCTGATATGACGGCCCGCGCGGCGACCTCTGAGGCAAGTTTGATGGTGACTTTTTGTCTAAAATGAGGATTTCAGTGTCAAGTGGCAGAGGAAGAGATTGAGGGGCTGAAGTTTTCCAGCCGGTTTAATGAAAGCAGGCAGACTGAGAGATGAAAAGCCGTTTTGCAGAGGGTTTCTTATTGTTTAAGAACCTCAAATGTAGCACAGAGGGAATGCTTAAAGGTGTTTTCACCATTCAAAATTACTGTGTCATACATACATCTGTTGGAGGTTTGTATACAGGTACTGAAAGTCCATCTCCAGTTACCTCTCTGTGTTGTTTGAGAGATATTTTTAAGGATAAAGTCCAGCTGTTGCTCGTCCAAGTTCACGTCAATATTTTCAGTGCTGCTGTCTGGGGGAAAAAGGCCCATCTGCCTCACTTCAGTAAAGGAAAGAAAGTCAGTTTGTATTTAAAATATTATCCATTACCTAGAAGGTTTGGTCAGTTTTAACAAGTCAGATATTAAATATCCATATCACACTGACCTGATATTTATTACTCTGTGGATCGCAGTCTCAGCTGTAACTGTGCTTGATGTGAGCTCAAGGACACGTACCTTCAGTCTTCATCCTTTCATCTTCATCTAACGAGGGTAGAGACACGAACAGGAGGAAGTGTTCCTTTGAATTAAAATCTGAATGAACTATGAATTAAACATCGTCCAAAAGGGACTCAAATCAACATTTAAAACTTCAATGAAGAGCACGAAGGCACAGCAACAATCTGCAGCACGGCTTGCAAGCAGGTGCACACGTTTGTGGCGTTGTTGAGATGGCAAAATTACAGAAAGAAGCTAAAGTTTTGTTTCAGGACCTTAACAAGGAGTGTCGACTCGCTCCGAGATATAAGAGGAGTTAAATATAATAAGGAGCAGTGAGTGAGGAAAGCTCACGGTAAGGAAAAAAGTAAAAATGGGTGACTATTGTTGTATTGAAATCATAATTAATAATGCCCTTACTTCACTCTTTAGCGTCATCCACTGACACTAAAGAGTGCACAAGAAACAGGAAGTGACTGCACCTTTCAGACACCTGGAAACCAATGAACAGCCACAACCTCTAGGAGAGAACTCTTCTGCAGCCAATCACAGTCCATCCGGGAGTGACTGCAGTCACTCAGATAACTACAGCATATCTAAATTATAAATTAAGAGAGACTGGCAACACATTGGAATCAATTGGAGTTAGTCTGTGCAATGGCAGCTCATCTCTTTGCAATAGGAAACTCGGTTCAACTGGTTGCCAACTGGTTGTTTTCTGGTTTTACTCCCATAGGAAAGCAAGGTTACCAAGACTACTGTTTAAGCCCATTCCTGCATTAACTATGTTGTTATTTGTGGAGGATTTCTGAATTGTCTGTTCCCGGTCTGCAAGTTTCTGGTTGGACGCTGAAGTAGTTCATGTGAATTTCTGTTTATTGGGATCTTCTATGTATGTAGACATCAGATTTGCAATTTTCAGTGATTTATTACAGACACACTGCTGTATTATCACAAACAGACGGCATGCTATTATCAACTTAACCCCATTCAAACGCAAACTGATCACAGACTTCATCTTTTATCACCTTCCTGATGCATCCAAGTGGCTTCGAGGAGGACAACTGAGTGATCGCAGACCTGGTCTCCGTCTGTGAAGCAATCATTTCAAATGCAACAAGACTACAAGTCCATTGTTTCCCTAGTGCTTAATATCCAATCCGACCACATTGGACCTTCAGGTTGTTCCAAGTCCAGGGATGAAAAAATGACAATGTTTTGTAAAATCCACTCTTTGTGACGTTCAGAGTTATAGAATTAGTGAGAGCTACAATCATTATTCTCAAACGTGTTGCTGTTCTGAAAGGGTGTATTTTAACTCACCCTATGATCTTCTACTAGAGTGAACCAGTACGTGATCTCCTGGTTTATAAAACTGCCAGTTTTGCCACAGGTCTCTAGAGCGGGACCTCTATCTGAAATATTCAAGACACCACAGAGAAAAGATGGTTTGAGCAAGTGGCATTACCGAGAGGATATGGTTCTAATTGTGAAGTTACTTTGGGACAAATTAAGTTAAAGATGTCAAAAGTGCAGGGAAAACAGCGCTGTAGGTCAGAACAAATAAAAACATAAGAGGTACGGATGGGAGT